TCTCATATTATTTCTCTTCTCTTTAGTGTTTTTGAATGTCTCATAAATCATTACTCTTGCTTCTAACCAATTTCAATCTCCAGTTCAGTATATGCAGCTCTCTGCTGTACCTTATCACTGATATGTACCAAAACTGAAAATTAATCTCAATATTTCTCCCCATTTAAAGAATCAATTCCACTTTATTTATTTCTATAAATAGGATGTTTATTATTACTCTATGCTATAAAGAAAACAAAGAGAAGCTCTGATAAAGAGCTGTGAATTTATTCACTCATAAAGCTTTGGTTTGACATCCCCCTAACTTTTACCAACACATTCCACACAACCCCATGTATCATTCACTAAACACTGTAGCTTCTGTAGGCAAAATGTGTCCTGAGACTTTTTTTTTTTTCATTTTTACTGGTGCCAATTTAATTCAGGCTCACATTATATATGACATGAAATATTTGTTACAAAAGTATTTTCCTAAACTTCATGATGGACCAAATCAGGCTAATATTTGTTTCATAAATTTTCACAGTAACCTTTCATATCTGAAGTCAAACTTCACTGTTCTTTACTTAATGTCACTTGGTGCCTAGATTGTAGGTATGTAGTACTTCTCAATGGAATAGGGTTCAAATGTATTAAAGTCTTCTTTCACACACATACTTTAAACACCTACTTTTTACCTGGCAAGATTCTGGATTCTGTCAATTCCGCACAGAAACAAATAAAATAAAAAACATCCCTGCACTTATAAAATTTGTATTTTAGTAGTTATATCTTGGTTTGAGTCTTGGACCCAGCATCTTGAGATTTCTGATCTCAGACGAGTGATTTAACTGTTCCAAGCCTCTGTCCCTTTATCTGGGAGTAAAAGTGATGGGGTGGGAAGGGCGGGGAGGACATATAATGTGTAACCTGTATGCTCTTGAAAGAAATAAAAATTAGACTGATTGACCACAGTTTCCTCCTGCATATTCGGCCCCTTTCCTGAGGTGGACCTTACTCATGTCTGTCCCATAAAATGAGGTTAACTTATGTTGGGCCCATGATACTTTTTCCAGTTTATTACATACAGTACAGACCACAGATTTTTAATATTTTCTTTTTTCATTTGGAACACTTGTTTAGCTTGTATTTACATTTTAAAATGAACCAAAACTAAAGTACCAATAGATTATGAAGACTCTCTACTTATGAATAAAGTTGAGAATAGCAATTAATATGAATGAAACTAAATTTAGCTTTCTTTTATAATTATGTAACCAATCTCAACAATTATTTTTGCTCCCCCTTTATTTCTCTCTCTCCTATTTTTCAGAAACGAAGACAGAAAACATCTTATTCAGATATTTGCCCCAATTTGTGGTTCAGTTCCCGCAGAAAAGTCAGTAGGAAGCTTTCTATCCATCAGTAATGGTCAAGTACCTATCAAATACCAACTAGGAGCTCTTTGAAACTCTGGAAATCCTTGCTCCTGCTCTCAGGGAGCTGACCTCCTCAAGTAGGAAGAAAAATTCTGGTATAGCTGCTGAGGCAGTGGTAACTTCCTAAAGGTAAATATATCTAGAGATACAATTTCTTATCTACTACAAAAAATCTATACTACAGAATTTGTTACTAATGTCTTCAGCAACAGAGAGCTCAGTATTTTACTCCTTCCATTTCTAATAGGCTCAAATGTCAAAAATTCTGTCCTTCCCAATATTTAAAGGTAGCTTTATATCACTTTCTCAATTTTCACAACCACACAGCCTGCTAAACTAGACTAACTACACTCAAATCTTTCAGTCATTCCCAGTGTAGTACTGTTATCGTTATTGCCAATATCTCTCCAAGATTCACAATTATTTAAGATGCTCCTCTATGTATAGATGGACCATCTCAGAATATAATGAATCAGGACTTACTCTTGGGCTTCAAGCATTTTAGGATTGAAATAATCCTAAATACCACGAACACCCTACCTGGTTGGCTCATGTTAAAGCTTTGTCTCCTTGATGATACTTCTTATCATTATACATGGCTTTGCAGCTAGACTGAGCAGAAGCAGGCAACACTTAGTTGAAATTACATCAATTCTTGAGATTGAGCACAGCCCTGTGTGACTGAAATGGACATTGAAATTAATCAGAATTCAACTACCAGCTTTGAACATTCTTCAGGTCCAGAGACAAAAGTGAAGTTTCAAGTTTACAGGAAATTATTCAAGTAAAATTAATGATTCTATAGGTTATGGCTTGGAATGACGTGTTCACCAGAAGCTCCTATGTTAATATAGAAATGTTTAGCCGTAAAGTGATTGGATTGTGAAAGCTGTAACCTAGTCAGTCCACCTCAGTCTTAGTGGACTAAATGGGTGGTAACTGGGGTCAGATGTGGCTGAAAAGAGATGGATCACTGGGATTGTCCCCTGGAAGGGTTCCTCTTCCCTGAAGCACCTTCCCCTTTCTCTCTGTGTTTCCTCACCATCATGGACAAATCATCTCTCCTCACCATGTCCATCCTTCATGATGTTCTGCCACATCTTGGGCCCAGAACAATCAAGTCAGCCCACCACAGACCAAATCTCTGAAAGAGTAAGCTCAAAATAAACTTTTTCTCCTCAAAGTTGTTCTTGTCAGGTAATTTGGTCACAGTGATGAAAATATAACTAATACATTGTCCTCATGTGAACAAGGATATTATATTATTATTACACCACTTGAAAAATGAATATTTGCTCACAAGTAATAAAACAACCAGATGACATGAAAGTATTTTGTGATTTCTTAGAAAATGATGACTTCTTTCATTTAAATACTGAATATTTGCTTTACATAAATGTGAGTTGAAATAAATGTGAAATTTATTAGAAAAAAATGAATACTCAGTTTTAAATTTTTAGGAAGATCCAAATGTCGTAGATTACCACATCTAAACCCCTGATCATTCTAAAAGAGAAAATATTTTCATATCACCATATATAATGCAATTTTGAAAAGTTAAAAACAAATTATTTCTCATTTCTCATTAACAACTTCTTTTTAAAATGTTCAGAAGGAATCAAGAAGTATGCTCTAAACAAAAAATATTCTTTGTTGAATTCACAAAACAAAGGGCATATAAAAATGTGTAAGGGGTAAGTACTCTTCAGATATACTTACTATCATTTTCAAAGATAATAGATACTTCAGTTGTAAAAGCAAATTTTAGAATTCAATAAACAGCAACTCAAGAGAACGCAAAAGAGTTAAAATTTTTGAATTTTGAAATTTCTCTTTACTGTAATGAGAAATAGAAATCTAAAAATATTAACAATAATAATTACAATGTTTACAAAGGCTTTGAAATTTTTAATATTCCTGTGTCTCTGCTTGAAGCACATAAAATTAAAATGATATAGTCACAATTTGTTTCCTGACTATTTTATATGCAGTAATTTTTAATGAAGCAACTAAATTAGGCATAACTTAGTGCAGCTTTAATGTAGTTATGATGAATATATTTTACTTGATTAAAAATGATAAAACCAGGGAGCCTTAAATATTATCTTAAAAGATTAACTACTGTGTCAATTACAAATCTAGGAGAAAGGTATTTATAAGGGAATAACTATTCTGAACAGTAACTTCCTTTTGTTCACTTTATTTAATTAATGACTCAATCAACTTTCACTCTTAATACTAAAATTGTCTTAATTTACACAATGGCTTGCAAATGGAAGGGCACGCAGCAAGGTTGTGTCAATATAACAAGGGTAAAGATTCAGCAAGAAACCCATTTTTCATTTAATCAGGAGGGAAAAACTACTTAGCAGTGTAGAGTTATGTAATTACATCATATTTTGTGTTAGTTGACACGTTATGAATACAGGTAAGAATCAAATTATCTGAGTACCTAAATTATGATGGAACCTGCCTAAAGGTACACTAATAAGTATATTTCTCAGTGCCTTAAAATTGAGTAAATCTGACAATTTTTTTTCCATCTCCCTGTCTTTTAGGGTGACCAACTAACCAAAGTATTTAAGAAATTCCCTATTGTAGGGAAGGAAGTAGATATAATCATCTAAAGGACGTGTTTATTTTGTCCACAGAAAGGGAAAGACTTGCAAAGGAACAGTTTTGATATATACATTAGATTTTTATCAGAATACAAATGTCATAGATGACAAATTTTACCTATGGAATACAAATAACTTACCTATGTTTTATTGTCCTCTAAATAGGTAAACGTCTTCAGGGAGAACTAAAATCAACAGCTTCTTCCTCTTAAGTCCTGACACCTTCATCCACTAAAAAGAACACAATCCTACCTTTGCTAGGTGGCTCCATCACTAAGGGGACCCCACACTGCCAATATAGGCCTTTATCCTGGAGTCCAGTAGCCCACTACCATTCAAATCTTTTTAAGGAAAAGGGAAGCAAGGAGCAGCTGAACAGTGTTTTAAAGAAAACTGATGACTACCTGCATGGAATTGCATTATAGTTATGCTAAAAGTGAGAAAAAAAAATGATTTTGAGTTCTTCTACCACTTAAATTGAAGCGTCCCGCCATGGAAATCCCTATCAAAAAAATGCGTTTATCCAAAAAGAACTCTGCAAAGCACTGCCTTAAATTCAAAACTAACTATGCGGGGCCACAGACTTCTCGCAAGGGAGGGAAGGTGGGATCTGGAGAGTACCGAGTCTCTTTCCTCTGAAGGACTACCCAGTGTCCCCTTCCATACTACTGGAGTCGGAAATGAATGTCACCTGCAGATCTGCCTGACCTTCTCAGTCGCTCCTTCTCCTCTACCCAGTCCGGATAGTCTCTAATTCCCAGTTGCTGCCCCGGCGGCCTGCGACTCCACTGAGTGTCACTAACTCCCGCCCTCTGCCTCTGGTCGCGTCCCCTCCCCCGAGGTCCCAGCCTCTCCAAACGCTGCCGGGAGCTGATTGGCGTCAGCGCTGACAGGAGGCGGGGCCTGGAAGTCGCGGCCAAACCCGCCCTCGCGTATAAGCCCCTTCTCAGCTCCCTCTCTCCATCTCTCTCCTCTTTCTCTCTCGCTCCCTTCCTCTCGGTAACTGAACAGTGAAAATTCACATTGTGGATCCGCTAACAGGCACAGATGTCATGTGAAAACGCACATGCTCTGCCATCCACACCGCCTTTCTTTCTTTTCTTTCTGTTTCTTTTTTTTTTTTTCCCCTTGCTCCTTCTCCCTCTTCTTTGTAACTAACAAAACCACCACCAACTCCTCCTCCTCCTGCTGCCCTTCCTCCTCCTCCTCAGTCCAAGTGATCACAAAAGAAATCTTCTGAGCCGGAGGCGGTGGCATTTTTAAAAAGCAAGCACACTGGAGAGAAAGAAATAAGAAAAACAAAAGCAAAACAAAAACCCAGACACCAGCAGCCAGGACATTTTTTCACCCTTCCCGAAAACAAACAAACAAACAAACAACCATCAAAACAGTCACCGTCACCAACACCAAAACTGTTAACATTGCGACGACAGCGGCGGCAGCAAACGTCACCCTGAGGCCACAGCGTCCGCCTAAAGGGATGGTTTCCTCGGCAGCGCAGCTCTTCGCCGACCACCTTCACTCGTGCTGAGCGGGATTTTTGGGCTCTCTGGGGTTCGGGCTGGGAGCAGCTTCATGACTACGCGGAGCGGGGGAGCGGCCACACCATGCGAGGTAAGCGAGCCTGCGGGCGCCCTGGGTCACCCGTCCGGCCAACTCTAACCAGATGGGGAGATGGGGGAGGGGAGGGCACCCAGCCCAAGGGGAGAGAGGTTGGCGAGGTGCAGTTTCCCGAGTTCGCGTTCGCAGGTGGGGCTGCAGATGGCCTGGGCGTAGAAAGTTGTGGGAAGATTTCGATGCCTCTCGGGAGTTCTGGAGGAACGCGGGAGGGCGCTTTTTTGGAGAGGGGAACAGCTCTAGTTGCTTCCTCGGGTTCTTGAGTTACTACCGGGAATCTTTTTTGCGTGTTGCTTGCGGGTGCGGAAACTGAGGCAGGATGGAGGGCGAGCCGGGAAAGAGATGTTTGGGGGTAGAGGTAACTAAAAGCGCACCGCACGCAGTGGTCGCCGGCCGAAGGTGGGCGTGCAGGGCGTTAGGGCGAACACGCTGGGGCACATTCACTTGACAGGTTACAAGGCCCACTAGCGTCCCAGCCAGCTGACGCTTCCCTTCCCAGGAGTGGTAGAGGGGTGGCGTAGCCGAACTGGACGCGGATGCAGGACGCTCCTTCGCGTCGCCGCTGCGCCCTGGCCAGTGCTGCCCAGGAACAAGAGCGACTCCCCATACCGCCCCCCCCCCCCCCCCCCCCCCCCCCCCCAAAAAAAAGTTGTACTGAGAAAGTTCCGGAGATTAGAGACCGCACTGCCCGCGGCGGTAGAGGAACCGGGAGCTTTCTCTTCGCTTTAGGAGGTGGTGCTGTGCGAGCCCTCCTGCCAAGACCCGGGTGGTCAGTGGCGGCGGCGGTGGGACCCCGGGGCAAACTGGCGGTTGTGGGGCAGCATGCGGGGACAGAGGCCGGACACCTGCTCTGACTGCACCCTGGACTACCAGAGAAGCTGACCAGGGGAGTTGGGGAGTCAGTTTGTCCGTTTCCTTTCCTGTAGTACCAGGGACCTCCAGGTTTCCGGTGTTCTGTGCCCTGGCCCCTTCTCCCTCACTTTCTGGTTAGCCACAACTTCACACTTTCTTGAAGAAGCGGCCAGGTGCCCGCCTGGTATGGGGATCGATCGGAGCACCTTTGGGCACCCATCCCTACAGCCGAGTCTGTCCTCCTGGCTACCCTGTGGTTCTTTGGGGGTCCTTCTCTCCCCCTTCACAAGTCCCTCCGAATCCTGACAACAAAAAGTGGGAAATGGTCTGCTCCGGACCTTCCTGTATCCTGAACCCAGAGAGACGTCGTCTAGGCAGGAAGCCTTTAGGAGAATGGGCTGCAAATACTTGCACCTCCCATCAGGCAATATTCCACTCCCACTTCAGACTTCAAGCTTCTCTCGAGAAGCGTCTCAAGGAGGCAGTGGGCATTACCTGCACCCAGTCTGTCCGCGGTGAGCCCAGAGTCTGACCCCAAAGGCACACACAGGGATTGTGGACTTGATGTGGCAGAAAAGGGGAAGAGGAAAAGGGACGGAGAAAGGCTGCCCATGGGATGCTAGGGGAAAAGTGTAGATGAGGGACAAGGATATTCTGGTGGGATGATCTTGATTGACCTGCGCGCTCTAAGTATGGGATCAACCTGTGTGTGCGCACTGGCTCCAGCTAATTGTCCCAGTTGGAGATTGGGCAGAGGCTCCACTATCCAGATTCTTTCAAGAAACTGTACTTGGGCAAATGCTGCGAAGAAAGCTTTTACTTAGTGAGAGACACCCCAGTCTTTGTTTTTCTTTTTGGGTCCTGTCTCACCATCCCATCCATTTTCCTTTCAGTTCCTCTTTGCATAGTCTGAAGCTGCCAGTTGGTCCTTCCCGATTTTTTTTCCCCTTAACAACATGCCCCCTACAGCTGGGTGAAGGTCTGAAACCACGTGCCACCTCAGTTGATACCAGGCAGCAGGACCTCAAGCATAAAAACTGCTCACTCTTCATACACTGTAGAATGGAGAGTGGCACAGGGCAGGTGTGGGTTGTACCTTGATCCCTTAGCTCCTGAAGGAGTAGTTTGCTGGGTACAGTCTGCTGTTCACTGCGGTGGTTGCTTCAGGGACGCCAGGAGTTTGAAATATTGAAAGCCAGGGCTAGTCCTCATGCTTATCTTGGGAAACAGTGTGAGGCCATAACCTTGTTCCAGAGGGCACCAGCTTCACCAGGCTGGCAGGACAACTTATCAATGCTAATTTGAGAGGATTCCTTGGAGGAAGCCTGGAAAGAACTTTATGGAGAAAAAGTAAGAGCTAAATCTTTCTGGCACCCTCCCTGGCTGTGCTTTCTGGACCTCTTACTGTCTCTCCTCCACTGTCTTTTCACATTTCTAATGCCCTGCCCCACCATCAGGAGATGTTTGTTAAGGACAGAATGGGAACCAACCAGACTCCTCATGGGAGTTGGGGTTAAACTTCAGTTTGAACTTGAGAGGTACAAGAGGTAAAAGGAATCACCTTTCCCTAACGCAGGGCTACTAAACTTTGGGGGGAGGGGCGGGTTTTGAACTTAGCCTTACAGCGTACCCACTCCATTTCTCCCATACACCCCTGCCTCCGACATAATCGCGCGCTGAAAACACACACACACACACACACACACACACACACACACGCTCGCGCGCGGGTGTCCTCCCCATCCCCAGGTGGTCTGGTGGTTGCTTTGGCTCTACAGTTTGCAGCTGGCAACTGTCCTGAGTCAGGGCACTTAGTGCTACTCAAACGTGGTTCCCGATTGAGTAATTCCCCCTCCGGGCCAATCCAGCAAACCTACCCGGACCCCAGTTCCCCCTCACCCTGCCCCCGCTTCCGCCTAGGTGATTTAAGACTTTATTCCCTGGGAAGCTCCCTGGTAAGAGGTTAAGAGGCTCTGTTCTTTGAGTTCTTGTCCTGCCCCACCGCTGAACTGTGTTCAGGACGCAGAGCGGTGGCTTACTCTGGCCTGGGGCGGAGGAGGTTGTACTTGGTGGCGCACAAAGCATTTCACCCTTTGTCTGCGAGAGTGTACCATATGAGTTCTAGAGATGCTTCTTTGTATATGGCATTATCGAAAGAAATAACTTCTGAAGGCGAAAGGAAGGACTTTTAATTATATTCATCCCTAGGTAAGAAAGGAGTGAGCACAGGCAGGTGTGGGTTTCCAGGCTTCTTCCTGAAAAATCTGCCAGTTGTATATTACACAGAGCACGGGAATGGTCGGATTTTTCAGTCCTTCCTCCGCAGAAAACCCTGCTTCCAAAAACAGGGGCACAGATGTCGTCGCAATCAATAGGTGACTGTCGCTTGGGCGGATTAGAAATCTGGTTTTATGCTTGTTGTAAACAAGGATGGGGCTTGGCTTTTCTAGAGTCCAGTTTTCATCTATTATTTCAAGTAGTTTAATTTTTATTAACTGCAAAACTTTAGAAAAGAGGCAGTTTGCTCTGAAAGGTATGGCCATCCTTCAAAAGTATGGAGCTCTGAATGTCCTGCTAGGGGGCCTTTAGAAAAAAAAATATATATATGTATATATATATACATATATATTTTTTTTTCTTGAACAAGTTCTTGCTCTTAATTTCCTCCACAAATTCCAATTAAATATTTCCAATTAAATATTTCCAACCAACATTCCACCTCCCACAATTAGAAAACACTGCTGGAAGGACATCTCAGCAGTCCATTAATAATTACTCATTAAGTAATCATCAGTAAACTGTCTTTACTCCAAGAAAAGTAATCATTCAATCAGTTTAAAGAAAAAAAATGTAAAGCTGTATTTCAAGTATTGTTGAAAAACTACATAGCCAGAAAGATAAAATCTTTTCTTAAATGGTTACATCTAGTGACTTCCCCCACCCCCTCACTGGATATCCTGGGTGAGTTTCTACCAAGTACTGGGAAGCAGAGGTTCTTGACAACCCTGGGCTTCTGGACAGCCAGTAGACAGCCATGGCTTTTCTTTTTCTCAATTTGTAGAGACTCAGGAATTGAGCAACCAGGATTGAAATGTAAAGGAAGAAATGTTGAGCAGCAGGCTTCATAAACAAGGGACATAGACTTAAAACTCCTTTGTTAGTATTCATTTAAAACTTACAAGTCCTTAGATATTCCACCAACAGGAGTATAGCTTTTGAACATTAGAGAATCCTTTAAAGATGATTATTTTTTACAACATTATTAAAGTGGTTTTATGTGACAGTTTAACATTAATATCAATTACTCATTAGTTCATACTCATAGCCAAATAAAAATATTAACATTTACTTATGTTGGTAACAGTTTGCTAAATAGCAAACTATTAACAGCCTTAAAAGCTATTATTCATGTGTACATTTGCATAGATTGTACTTTAAGTGTTTCAAAGTCTTAAAACCTATTTTTATAGCAACGAAGGTTCTACCGCAACAAGAAATTATGAAGTTTTACTGTTGGATGTTTTGAAAATAATATTTGAATCCTGTAAAATATCTTCTTTTTTCCAAAAGTAACATTAACAGAATTGACCCTGGGATTTTAATACAGGAAGTTTTTCTATGCAAAAAGACAAGTAAAATGCTGTTTTTTAAAGCTATTGCTTCACATTTTATTAACTTGTATTTACCTTTGAGGAATATCAAACGACCTGTATAATTTTTATACTTTTGCTACAATAGTTTTAAGAAGTAAAAGTGTGAATCACAGGATATTAAACAGATTTTTTTCACTGCAATTAACAATGGCCCTCAAATTTCAAAAGCATATTATAACATTTAATTGATAGTTTAAAATTATTCTAGTAATTTATTATTAAAATTATATATATATATGAGTCACTGTGATTCTGCAAAATTGAGGTTTAAAATCAGAGCCTAGTCATGCATTGGTGAAGCCTAAGATTTACAATTAAATGTATTGTGAAATAAGAAAATTAATGCCAAAGTCATATTTTGTCCAAATCAAAATGAGCTTGGTTTAAAGGTACATGCACATATGTTATGAATGTAAAAACTATGAGCAACTGAAGTGACTTAAAATAATATTTTTATTCTAGTACTATAACAAGAATTTCTTAAGGATAAAC